CCGCGCGAGCCGCAGAGAAGCGGGGACGACGGTGCGGACACGGGGCTGCCCTCCCCAGTGACCCCCTTACGAGGCTCCCACAGAGCCCCGCCGAGCTCCAGCACCGACACTGGCGTCGCGTGGGGGACTCCAACACCCACCTGCCCGGTGCCGCGCTGCCTCCGGGAGACGGACGCGACCACAGAGCCCCGCCGAGCTCCAGCACCGACACTGGCGTCGCGTGGGGGACTCCAACACCCACCTGCCCGGTGCCGCGCTGCCTCCGGGAGACGGACGCGACCTGACCCTCGCGTCTGTGGGACACCCGTCACCCGCTCGCCCCGCGCATGCGCAGCTGGGCTGTGGCGGAGGGGGCGCTGCACGCCCCCCTTCTCCCCCGGGCGGCGGGGGGCACCCGGCCCCTCTGTGAGGGCGGAGGAGAGCGGCGAGAGCGGGCGCGGCGGCGCTCCCCGCCCTCGGGCTGGGTGGGGGGCAGAAATACAGTTGTGGGTGTAGCTTTAAACAAACATCACCTGTTTGTTTTCAATGTAGTATTTTATTTAGCTTAGAACAGCCAGTCCCCCTCCCGACGCCAGTCGCCCCAGGTGCCTACACCACTGTACCCGTTAGCCCTACAATCCCCCGGCACCGTTTTCTAAAGCAGGTCTGCACCCCTTCCTGATGGCAGCAGATGCTCTTCTCTACATTTGTCTGGCAGAAAGAGGCGCCAAACCCGCCGCTTACTCCCACCAGACCTTCTGTAGCACTAGTACTGCCCTCTCGAGCTCACCCTTCTGAGCAGTCATGTCAATACCTCGTCCCTTGTTTCTGTTGCGCAGGCATAAGGTGCACGCTATGCACGCCAATCTGGTGAACAAACTGATAGCAACCGTGGAGTAAAAATCTTACCGTTTGCGCTCGAGTATATCTGGCTTCCAAGGAAAAACCTAGATAAGAAATGTCTTAACAGCTAAGATAAGATACCTAAGAAAATCTTAACCAAACAGCTCCAAAACAAAGTCTCAAGAAGGCTTTTTTTATCCCCTAAAACGACCCACTGTAGTTCATTTATGAGCCAGTACACAGTCATGCAGTCTGTAACAGAGATACTATATAGATTAGTTAAACACATTATCTCAACATTAGCAGTATCATTAGCACCATCAAAATTGATATTTGGAAACACTTAAAGAGGCTAAATTAGCATCAGGCACAACCCAGCAGTATTTTGTAGTACACTTTAGTGATAAGGATATTTTAGTATTACTTAACACACATTCCAAATAGATGCAAAAAGTTTTGGCTCATCAATGCAAAACAACTGCTTTGATTTTTTTAGTACAGACCCCCAAGAAGTCATCTGAAAAGCAAAACAAGATGCTATTTTAGTTTTGGGACACTACCCAAATTATCTTTGTAGCACAGACCTAATTCTTTCCTTGACTACAACTACGTCAAGAAGCACTTCAGGAAGTTCTGTTTACACATTGCTTCTTAATGTTTACCTTGCCTCCCTCCCCTCTTCCCTTCTGAGAGATGATTTTTTTGACACTTCCTCCACAGATGGGTGCCTGAATTGGGTGGTCTCAAGTCCTTTGACATTTGCTCTTTTGAAATCCAGTTCCGTGTTTCAGACCTAGCCTTGTGTAGCCTTCTATTTATTTTCAGTAGAATTTATTCAAGCCAGTTATGCAGTTCATAGGAGTCCAAAGAACATTTAACAAAGTTAAAATGCAAATAAAAAGTTTAGATGAGAGTAATGAAAACAAGGTTAATTCAAAAAGAATACAATACCACTGAACTTAAACTGCGTACTCTGACTACAATTTAAATGACAGCTTTAGAAATCTATTGCTGAAAGACAGTACAGACAAAATGTAGTATCACGGTAAACTTTACTATTTCAATATCTTAAAACACAAATAGGAGTGTGCATTTGTACACCAATGGATTTACAGAGCAAAGTTATCAGAAAGATTAAACTGCAGCATAAAGTCACTATATCTTCAGCAGAAATCATCGGGCATCAAAAACCACCACTGGAATAGTGCAGTTAAAGGAAAAAAATGTGTTGTGGTTGAAAAAAGATGAGGGAGAGAAGAGGGGAAATAAAAAGTTTAGATGAGAGTAATGAAAACAAGGTTAATTCAAAAAGAATACAATACCACTGAACTTAAACTGCGTACTCTGACTACAATTTAAATGACAGCTTTAGAAATCTATTGCTGAAAGACAGTACAGACAAAATGTAGTATCACGGTAAACTTTACTATTTCAATATCTTAAAACACAAATAGGAGTGTGCATTTGTACACCAATGGATTTACAGAGCAAAGTTATCAGAAAGATTAAACTGCAGCATAAAGTCACTATATCTTCAGCAGAAATCATCGGGCATCAAAAACCACCACTGGAATAGTGCAGTTAAAGGAAAAAAATGTGTTGTGGTTGAAAAAAGATGAGGGAGAAGAAGAGGGGGGGGAAGACACACCAAAAGAGAGACTGCCTAAATCTAAAGTCACAACTAACTACATAAAAGCATTTCACAACTCATCTTTAATTAACCCCACAACACTTTCCTTTTGTTAAAAGGCTGACTAATATCAACCGTTCACAGTACGTCACCCAGCAGACTATCACAGCTTATTATATTTTGCATAGAAAATGGAAAAAAGAGAGAAAGTGCCAGGAACGAAAACAAGATCCCCAGTCACACTGCAGAGATTTCCCTATAGTACTTTACTCTGCGGCATTGATTTTTCGCCTTGAAGGATTCTTACATAATCACTCAAATCTTCCATTCGGTTTCCCTTGTCTCCATCCACAGCTTCCCAAATGCATTCAAGTGCCCGTGTAAAAGGATACATCTTTTTGTCCTTTTCTTGTACATTATTCTGTAGCCACATTCTCTGCATCTGATAGGATCTCTTGCCTTTATTTCATTTTCTGTATGACATTCTGACATGATAGAGGAAGAGAAAAGGAGTGGATAAACAAAACCAGCATTGTTAATGCATAGATAATTTTTAAAAGTCATAATAGTCAAATTCCTACTTGTGGCAAACAAAACATAATAAAAGATAATTGTAGTGAATTTGTATCAAAAGCGGAATGATATCAAGATACTGTGCAAAAAAAAAAATTAGCAAACTTCACTTATATTAAGATAAAAGAGGATCTTGCTAAAAATCACCAAATTATTACTGCACAGAATGCATTCCACTCTTGATACAACTAGACTGTCTACTAATGAAAACTTCAGCTCAGCCCTCCAAAGCCCCAAGTTTATTTTCTTAAAAGACAAAATATTTCAGAGATTCCTTAAGTGATGACTCAAAATCACCGATTTTTAAGTTGTTGACTTATCTATAGGTAAGAGAGAATTTGACTACTGCACTTCGATAAAAGCCGAGTGACCATACAGCATTTTCAAAAAAACTCTGAGAGGCACCAAATAGAAGGACCACTATCTGCACCACAAGCAGACACTTAGAGAAAGCGTCCTCTGGAGATGGAAGACCTCCACACAGCAACACAAGCTCTAGTGAATTACTTCCACATCGCTATCCATATATACCACATATATGTGGTACCATCAGCGTGTAAAGCTTTAAAGAACATCAGGATCCACACTGCAACTATTTGTACTTATGTACTCTTCAGTATAATGATTATGCATTCTTCATTATTAAAACACCAAATCTCCAGTAACAAGTAAAAAAATTCACTGATGTCTTTTCTTTACCTCCACAAATGTAAATCATTGGCTGCTGCTTTGGAGGTTGAACATCCTTCTGTGAATCCATGTTCTAAACAAAAAACACACAACATACACACCAGTTTTGGGTTTTTAATTATTTTTTCCAAGGCATACACAATCATTTAAATATCTCAATCTAAAGCTAACAGAAGATGAAAAACTTCCTTAAAAGTACATACAAACAAATTCCATCTGTATTTGATACACAGGACACTGGATAATTCAGGTTGGAAAAGAAAGTCATCTAGTTCAACTTCTCAAAAGCAGAGTAACATCAGGTTTCTCAGAGCTTTACCAATTTGGTATAGAAAACCTCCAAAGATGGAGATGGCACAACATTTGGACAGGCTGGATCGATGGGCCGAGGCCAATTGTATGAGAGTCAACAAGGCCAAGTGCCGGGTCCTGCACTTCGGCCACAACAACCCCATGCAGCGCTACAGGCTTGGGGAAGAGTGGCT